ACTTACAAACTCTTAATTTTAAACTTTGATGGTGCTCATTTTTCCTTACCTGGAATCAAAAAGTTTATTTCAATTCGTACACTATTTAACAACTGTTCGATAATAATACTAAATAAATTACTTCAAGCCACACTATAACACAAATCCTCTTTGAAAAGTGTTCATATTATTTAAAATATTTTGCAACTGTAATTCTCTTCTACATTTAAAGATTGTTATGTCCCTCCATATTAAGAAGAGGTCTGGAAAACAAAATTCTGTGCTAAAAATAGACCACGTGCTGCTATCAATGAACTATTTTTAGGGTTCTTTACACTCTTTTTGAAGACAACGATACCTTGTTTTGAACTTAAAATTATCATTTAAAAGTGCAAAATTTAGACATTTTCTCAACAAATGGTTGTAGAGAGAACATTAATGCACACTTTGCGTATTTTTTTGGATTTTTTAAGGCTCTGCTGAATTCTGTAGCTGCGCAGTTCTAAGAAGCATATCAAAAGCATTTTTCTGCAAAAGTATATATTATATATGCACAACATGCATTCAGTTATGCATATTTATTGTATCTTTATCATAAGGGTTTAGAATTTGATCAAAATATAATGTACTTTAGCCATTTGAAGAAATGTTTACATTTTGTTCTCACTGCACTAAATATGGCCGTACATCCCCCTTAAACCAAATAAATTTTCTGGCAAAACTAAACAGCACATTTAATACAAAGCAATAATAATTCGATGATATTTCACAAAACATATTGATAAAAAAATACAATAAAACATTCACCTGATTTAAAAATCAAACATTATTTTCAGTTACCTTAGCGTAATTGAACAAATTTGTTATCAGATTTTTATAAGCGCTGTTAATGTACTGTAAAGGGGCAAATTGGAGTTATTAACGATAATGTATAAAAGTGAATGTAAAAAAGTATAAAAGTATCACTCATTAATGCGTGTTTTATGGTGATAAGGAAACATATATTTTAGAAAAAGGAAAATAAAAATTCCTCATAATCTGAAACATACATCACTGAGTTCATCACGTGACTGAGATGTTAAGATCATGTATCTGTGTATAATGATTATATATCGTGCTTCAAAGCAAAGCAGAAAAGGATAAATATATATTGTCGGAGAAGGTAAGGCAATAATTGTATTTAATAGATTTTTACTTACGTGGTAAAGTGATGTTTTTTTCATTTTCATATTTTCCACAACAAGCTTTTATACATGGATGTACAGGAATCAATCGAAGCAGTCGTGGTTAAGTTGCTGCTAGTGATTAAAGGTTGAGTGATCTAAGAACAAAGATGTTTCTTAAACAATACACGTGTATGATTATTTAAGGTTGAATGATCTAAGATCAAAGTTGTCTCTAAGACAATACACGTGTATAATGATTTAAGGTTGAGTGATCTCAGATCAAAGTTTTAGTGAGACAATACACGTGTATTATGGGTGACCTAAGATCAAAGTTGTGTGTAAGACAGTAGAATGATGTGTATGTTGAGTGATCTCAGATCAAAGTTTTAGAAAGGCGGTGGATGTGTATGATGAGTTATTTTGGATCAAAGTTGTTTGTAAGTCAGTACAGGTGTATTTTGAGTGATCAAAGATCCAAGTTGTTGCTAATTAAAAGTATCTCCCATCACAGCTAGGTTAAGGCCACCCATAAGGTATGCCTTGAAATATTCTGAGAAAATCGATATAATGTTGATTTCATTTTTTTAAATATGAGTTTAAATTTTATGGGCATTGTACTTATGCGTATGTATGTATGAGGACTCAACCAAGTTCGACCAAAGCAACCTCAGGAAAATCAACTGTTGGTCACGTGACATGGTTATATTAGAAAAAAATATGTACCGATACAAAGATCGTAAAAGTTAAATAATATACAGATAATTTTTCACTATGAAATTGATTTTTTTTTTCAGAAATATACCTTAACCTCAAAAGTGCTGGGAGCAATTTGCCCGGACATTATATATTTAGCCGTCTTCTAATAAACTTCGTGCATTAAATGTAAACTATACACATTGAAATGATGTAAAATTACCAAAAAATCAAACAGTGCACAACTTGCTCCCAACTTTTTTTTCAAAATAGTAGGGACAATATCTACATGTGTGTATATATAATTTATAGTTAAGTGAATATCGTTGAACTTTTGAGATTTTCGAGAGGTTGTACATTGGATTGAAGTACACGTATGTTTAAAACTGCATGATTGCGCTTTAATAAGAGACTAAGTCATTTTCATTTTAATAAGGCTGCGAAATATTGAGTTATACATTACAAAATATCACTCAATTTTAGTCAGATCACGCTTATCTACTTTTAATTTTTATATGTGCAAGTTGCAATAATAGCTTTATCTGCGTCTCAAGTACAGAGACACTGCGTGTCAACTAGTCTATGGTGTGATCTATGTCAATACAGCGAGATCAATTTGGCTTAAATTTTACATTCGAAAAGTGTAATAATGACAAGATAAGTTACACATTATTCATGTTTGCAATAATTATGAAAAATCACAGTATGTAACATTGTATGTAAAAGGAAATCATTATTTATTCACAGACATTCATTTGCACAGGTTCACTGTGACGTCATAATCAATTTCCCGAAGCTTTGACTAGAAAGATATACCTTAAGGAGTCGTTAACCTCGCTGCAATACTTTTGTCCGAACAAAATAAAAGATATTTAATACAAAGCTTTAAGAGACAAAGAAATATATTTATTTAAGAAGAGACGAATTAGAAATAAGAGGCTTAGATAGATATTAATTTAAGATTGTTGTTTCAGATACTCAATATTTAGAACAGTAAGTTTTAATGTTCGCCATACACCATGCAGACAAGAAAGAAAACGACATATACATGTAATTTAACATTACACTTATGGCCTTTGACATTCAATGAAAATAATTATTGAATTGTAATGAGGTATGATAATATTTCTTTGATCATAAATTATTTGCTTTTTCCCTTTCCCTTATCTTTTTTGGCTTTAATTAAAACTCTTGTTTTAATTATTTCAGCCCACTCAGAGATGTTCAAAAGGAATGGCGTTTTTACATCACTTTCTTCTATAACAATTATATCTTTTGTTATAATCCTAAGTTAGATTCCAACTACAGAACTTCCTTTACTGACCTACTTGTCCACATTAGATACGTTTGACTCGTCACTGACACTCAACAATACAAATACAAATATGACAAATAAAGTATTCAATAACTCACTTCCAAGGATGTATCGCATACATTGGTTTCAAGCAGAGGAGTACTATGTAGATCAAGTGCGGTATTACGATAGTACTCAATGTTCCGTACCTGGCTGTGTTTTAGAAACGAATGTTTTCAATGCTGATATAGTGGTATTCAGTCACAGACGTCTTCCTAAAAAAGTGATCAGGAAAATTAAAGGACAGATTTGGGTGTTTAACTCGGCAGAAAGCCCGTACTACACATGGAGGCCAAACAAAGAATGGATGAAACATTTTGATTTATCTATGTCGTATATGGAGGAATCGGATATTTATGTGCCATTCTACGGTAAACTGCAAAAAATACAAGAACCCGTCATCAAAAACTACACCTGAATACTCAACAAGAAAACTAAAGACGCGGTATGGATTTCAAGCCACTGTCAAACTCCTTCCAGAAGAGAAAAATTGGTTCAAGAACTAAGTAAATACTTAAAAGTGGATAAATTTGGCAGTTGTGGATCTAAAAAATGTGGCAAGCAATATGATAATTTGAAGGGGTGCCAGGACATATTCGAAAGAGATTACAAATTCTTTTTTTCTTTTGAGAATTCACTTTGCAAAGGTTATTCAACAGAAAAACTGTTTTCACTTTATTTAAACCGTTCTCAAGTTATACCTGTAATTAACGGACCAAAAGACGCCGGTCAATATCTTCCTAAAGGAACTTACATTAATAGTCAGGATTTTCCTTCTGTCGGTCTTTTAGCCAAAGAATTGATCAGAATAGGTTCTAATGAAACAGAATACATAAGTTACTTAAAGGATAAAGACAAATTTATTCCCCAATCTTTTTAGAAAAACTGTATTAGATGCTCAGTGTGATTTATGTAAATATGTAAGAGACGCATATAACGAGAAAAAGAAGAGGAGAAATAAATCATGGCTCAATGTTTTAAATCCAGATGTATATTGTAAAATAGGTAAATAAAGGAATAAAAAAATATTGATGTTGTAATTTATATTTCAATTTTAAGAAAAAAATGAGTGAAAAAAGGATAAAGAACTCAAAATTTCATTAGATAATGCTGTTAAAACTGTCCATATCAGTGCTGTGCTTACAAAGAAGACATCTTCTGTCAGAGCAAGTTTTAAAGCCCCCGTTAGGTAATGGGTTGTCCAGTCTGGTTCTTACTACCATGTCCTTTAGGTTCCTTGGGCGTCTGTATGCAGCCAATAGTGCTTTATATAAATTTCCATCCGTGACCTTGTATCTACTTGGTAGATCCGACATTTAGGATATACAGTGTTGTTGGTTTTTTAGTGCTTTATATATATATATATATATATATATATATATATATATATATATATATATATATATATATATATATATATATATATATATATTATATCAAATATATCTTTCGATTAATGATACAAATACCCACCCACCCACCCACCCACCCCCCCCCAAAAAAAAAAAACCTGGGGTTTTGTGTGAATTTCTACACTTATGATAATCACATATACAGGAATATTGTCAATATGAATTATGTAATACAATGCATACTGCTGCGGAGTTTTACAATAGGCATGTAATAACTGATAATTTTTTGTACCGTTGACACAATCATGTCGCATTTGCTCGTTATGAACTTGTTTGACTTGTGTTGATTGTCATTTTGACATATTGTGTCTAATTTCGTAAATCTAAACAGATTTAATCATAGTCCAACATATACTGAGTCAGACTTTTAATCCATATATTTATATAACGTTATCAGAACAATCCTGGTCTTGGTAAGGGTAACAACCAGAAAAAAATATTGAAAAGCCAAATTTGTAAGTATTTTCCTAAATTATTTCTTTAAGAATACATCATTTGAATTCAAAAGATAACACGATTTACCCTAGGCTTAGGCAAGGGGATTGATTATTCATTTTAAAACATCGTTAAAAATTTTTCATTTGACTTTTCGAAAATTGAACTAGAATAATTTTTTATATTTAACCCCCTCCCATCAATTATTTTTTAAAGATATAATTATTTTTCCTAAACATAAATTTATTTTTCCTCACCAAAATGGTTTTAGTTTTATTTACATTTTACTGCATATTGAATTTAAATCATTTTAACAAATTTCTAAAAAATTTTGATCTAATTTAAGAAAAAATAGTTATATACTACATGTCCCAGTATATTTAGAAACTCCTCTTTTAATCACACTTTTCAAAGATTACGTTTATGATCATTTTGAAAAAAATTAAATGAATCATTACATCACTTCTCTCTTTTAGAAAAAAAAAATAATTACACAAATTTGAATTTCCATTTAACGTTACTTTTGAGCAGAATTATTATAATTACAAAGTAAGTTTACTTCTTTTTTTAATCTATTTTTTAATTGCAAATTAAAAATGTTCGAAAAGGAAAGGCATTATTATTAAGTAAGCTATTAAACGTTTCATTATGGAGTATCAACAATATGGCTTTTTTGATTTCACATTAAATGCTATATATATCTTTTGCAAATATAACTCAAAACCCCTTTAAGATACAAAAAAAAATTAAAGATAAATGCTAAGAAGAAAATTAGGTTTGATTTCTCTCACCAAAAAAAAAAACAACACGTTTTTCCACCTATATTGTGCTAACAGAATGGAAAGCGGTAAAATTTTACATTTTCGTAACCAAATCACAAAGATGCTAAACTATATTTATATATATATGTAGTTCAGATTAAATTTTAATGATATATTATTCCCGAGCGAAAATGAGTTGAAACCCCTCATTTGTTTGTCCAAAGATATGACAGTTTTTTTTTATATAATTGATCGTTATTTTATCAACGAAAAAAGAATAATAGGAAAGACGCATTAGTAACCTGTTAAACTCTTGAGTAACTAGATTGTTACTAAAATCGAGAACATGCGTTGAATACTGGACAATTTTAATGAAGCAGAGATCAAAATGAGGAGGTGGGGTGTAACATCGATGTACTTAACGTGAGCTACTTATAGTTAGAAAAAGTTCAAAAATATTCTTAGGCTTTGCCCTTTGTTCTGTAAAAATTTTAATAAGCAATTAAACACAGAAATAAAATTGTCAGTTTTTCTGATGAGTCTGACACATCTGTTTCAAATTTGGATTTATTACTTACATTAATGGTAATCGAACAACCAAGCTCTATGAAAAACGTGATGACTTTAATTTTTCTATCGTCACCTTCCTTACTTATGCAGCAATATACTGTAACTTCATCACCTGCATATAGAGTTTATGTATTTCGGTAGATTCGATACACAAGAGCATGCTCTTTGTATAAAATACTTCTAAAACGAGGTAAATTATTCAGAAACAATTTGATGAAACAGTCTCATTTAAAGTCATCATTTCGTAAGTAATAAAGTTGATACAATGACCTTGTCAGCAAATACACTTTGTCATTGAGTTAAATGCTGACTGACGTTTTTCATACTAATTTTTAGTCCATCATTTACACACTGATTGACGACAGATTTTCCCGTTATTTCTCGATCACGACATGGAGCACAGGGTAAGTGTGACTAACTGGCAGGGGATGCTAACTCCTCCATGGCACCTGGTCCAACCTCAAATGTTTTGGAGGTCCGTGTTTGCTCTGCTCCTATTTTGTATTATTTTATGGAGTTTTGATCTTGAATAATGTTCGTTATCTCGATCTGTTTCGTCTTTACGTGAAAAAATTAAAATTAAAAAAAATCTTAATGAATGTTCTTTAAATGTGAGTAGTTTTTAATTTGTTAATTACTAAACTTGTCTGAAATTAGTTTTGTACGTGGATTTGAATGTGTTAACATTGCAATAAGAAGCTTACATGGCTATTCTTACAACTTTTTATTTTGTACATATGGATAATGTAACATTTTTTTTTTTATTACAAATTATATTTGAAAAAATATTCGTGGTATTCTAAGATCGATTACATCTAACACAAATACAATAAATCAGAATTATTTTATTCAACGAATTTTACTTGCAAAAATACTGGTCAGAAATTATCAAGAATAAAGTAAAAACACCTTTTTGAAGATTGAAAAAACATTGTATATAAAAATTTGGGTTATGTTGTTTTTTTTTTTAGCTTTTTTAGTTTAATTGAGAAGAAACCACGATGGAAAGGAATGCATTGCTGTGTATCTTGTATCTTACCCTATTGCTTGCTCCTGCTCCCATCTTGGCTAATGCAAGAACAGAGAAAGAACAGCCAAGAAATAAACGTTATGTTGCACTCAGAAGGGGTAATCAACTGTTTTATTATGCCGAATATATTGAAAAGTTTGAATCTCTATAACCGTTATCAATTCTTTCTTTGACCGGGATCGGGATTCGCTGAACTGACCTGTAGCTATATTTTAAATGAGTAGACCGTTTAAATTAACCATAAAATGTTACCGTATTCTGTATGGTAATGCAAAACAGACCATGCACAATTAGAAAAACGTGTTGTTTTTCTTGAATAATCATTATTTTATGCCTATGGAGACTTTGAACATCAGGAAGATAATAAAAAAACATATCCGAAATAATCTTTTAATTTAAAAAGTATTTATTACTTCTGATCCCAGAAAAGCCAAAGACACCTTAGTTCAAAAAATGTGTTATTTTATACTATAAGGTAAAAATATTACAAAAATAAATGCCCGTGGTGTATCTAGGTATTTTTTGGTCACCCGAGTAACTCAGTTGACCTATTGCTATTCGTTTTTGTCTGTCGTCTTTCATCGTCAGTCATGCATTAACATTTCAAGCTTCTTTTCTATAACCGCTGTACCAATATCAGACAATTTTAGCATTAGAACATATATGAGTGAAGGGCAACAAAACTTGTGAATGTCATGGTCACTGGCCCCCTACACCACTCGGACCACTCCTGGACGTCAAAGTCAAACTTTCGGCATGTTTGTGTTAAGCATTGGATCCTAAAATGTAGTAAGATGACGTTATTTTTATCAGGGAGGACATTTTAATTTAACTTCCGGTTCCAAGTTGAAGACAATTTTCTGAATTCAAAATGACATTTTGTCTATAGATAATCACAAAGAACAAACAGGAGATATACCAATAATATGTCAAACTTTTATGGATTATAGATTGAGTTAGATACTAGCGGATCGCTTCTTTTCGTTCGTTGTAAGCACTTGCACTTGCTGTCTATTTAGAATGCAAAATACATAATTTGTTTTAAATTTATTAAACTATTTTCTAGATATTCCTCACTTTCCATTCTGAAGGGGTAGTTCCGATGACATAATGATAAACGTATTTGTTTTTTATACAGGCGACTCGGTGTCAATCACTAGAATGTCAGATATCTTTTTTTATCATTTGTTTCTCCTAAAATTGACGTTTATATCTTTGATATACGACGGTTGTCCCAAAAAGTCGTAGACAATAATTATGACTTTTAAAACATGCAACCAATACGAACCAAATTTTCCATAAATATAATATATTCAATGTTCTTTAAAATTATAGATTTTTAAATGTACATCTTTCATATAAATAATATTAGGACGATTTAAATGATGGCCGATAAGGCCTGTCGGTGCACGGACAAAATTCGGAATAATTAATTTACGCATATGACTATTACATTTGTTTTAGTTTCTTTAGTACTATGTAAAACATTGAACTCAAATCTAAATCAGTGAAATCAAAATCTTAATAATATGTGAAAATTTCATATAAATAGCATTGGAAACAGACGATTATAGTCATGATTTTCAGTGTTGTTGGAAAATTACGTCGTCAAACGCGTAACCGGCGCACGAATATAAAATAAATTGTTTTAGATAGGGATTGTATATATCAGAGACAGGAAAAAAAGTACAGAAGTGACATTACACATTAGATTTTAATAGGAGAGTTAATTTTAAGTGGCATGAGATTCAATGAGAGTTTTTCCTCATTACCGAAAATAGTTACAGCATGTAAGAAATAGAGTACTGTTTGTAAAGGTACGCAGACAATTGGTAACACTCTTTACCTCGGACGTCGTCAAACAATGTATATATTCTATGCTACGTACAGTGCACGAGGGTTGTCCCAAAATTCCGAAGACAAGCGTTGTTTTGTAGGAACCCTGTGTCATACATTAATGAAACTTCATATACTGTAAATGTATTATATTTGGCGGAAATTGAATTTTCAACAAGTTGGCGTAGATTTGATTTAGCGCTTTTTGAATGTGCTTTACATAAACCTTTATACACAAAGCATAAGCGATGTACTTGATTTAGCGGATGATGCTTTCCGCGAAAGGCTCTAAATAGAATACACAGCCAAATGTAATACGTTTACAGTATAGATTAAACAAACACTATTTGACAAATTTATGAACAAATATGGAGTAACTACACAAATTATTTCAATTTAAAAGACACATTTCATTGTCTGGTGTAGGAAGGCGGCGCAATACCCAAAAGTTGCAATAAAAAAGGGTATATTATATTTAAAATCCTACGGAAAAGTAATTACTACACTGTATTTTTTTAATGGAAATGAAAATTCTTTAAGCTGTTTTGTTAACTATATTTCTTCATATTTTGGTGTTTGTGGTTTGACAAATATGAATTTTATAACGTTTTATATACATGGAGTTGAAATCCGACTTTTTCGAAAATGGCGGCTACGTTGGCACAGGCGGCGCATTAGACTATGATCAAGTGTTTTGATCCTGAATTCACTCAAACAGAAAGGTTCCAGTCATAAATGTTTTGTTGACTAGGAAACTTTTTCTCGTCCTTAGTATTTAAAATGACTAAAACGGTTTCTCTATGTATATGTGAATAACAGTAACTTAGATAAAATACAGGGCTACAAATGTAAGAAATGGGCAAGAGTTCCATTATGCAACTCCATTAGAGAAAACAGACGGAAAGCCCGTAGAAACATAGCGTTTTCAAATTTTTATTATTTCATACCTGTATATTTATATACATTGTACTTTGTTTACATATTTTAATGTTTGATCATATCATAGTAATTAAGATATTTCACATTTATAACTATAACCGTTTCGCTTGATTTAAGAATTTGATTCTGGTAATTGGAATTTTTTTTTCTCCAAATATTTAAACCGTTGAGATTTCGTATTTTTTGACGTTACAGATTGCTCCGGTTGTTAGCGAACGATATCAGTTTAAATGTTATTACTCGATAAGTGTTAAAGTAAACATGATAAAACTTCGTAATTTATTGGCCAAGAACACGCTTTATCCACCCTGAAAATTTTATTAAAAAACATAAAAAATGACACAAGACTACGACATTTTTGGACAACCCTCGTATGTCGATCTTCTACTAAATTTCGACTAAAAATTGAATCTGCTTTAAAAAAAAAAAGAACAACAGCAAAAAGCCGGACAATAGTGAATTTAAATAAGTACCTTATTCAAAAGTGGTCTTTCACTTAAAAAAAACTATTGAATGCTAACAGACGCCCGAGGAGCAGAAAAAGATATCATGACGTTATAAGAGACGTAAACTACGCTTACTTTCATGCGCCGATGAACACTTACATGCTTTCTATATTTTTTAATAGTTTTTTTTCAATTAAGTGTGATATTATCATGAAATCTGAAATGCATGATCATAAAATGTTACTTTTTGTTATGAAAAGAAAAGAAATTTAATTCAGCAAAGAGAAAATAAACTGTTTTCCCTGTCTACGACTTTTTGGGAGAACCCTCTTTATATTAAAATTTTTACTTGTAGAAGTTGCTATTATTTTCATAGTTTTTATTGGAAATTATATTCTCCTTTCAAGATTTTCCAAAAATTCTATGTTCTACGTACATGTTCTATATGTTTTTATCTGCGAAACACATGAAAATATTACAGGTGCATTGTGATAATTATACATTCTACAGATCGAAAATCGGTCAAAAAAATATTTGTGTCACACCATTCCATAAACCATACATGCCAAAGAAATGGCACGATTTACTCGTGACATCTGGCAGAATATAATGTATCGTGTCCCGGCTTTCATGCAATACAAATGCACTGATACAATATTATAGAAGTGAAGGAAAATATCATAGGGAGATGTCTGTATTTGGAATTGCATGTAAATAAGCACTAACTGCATAGAGAAAATAGAAGTAAAAACATCAATAGTTTTTATCAGTAACAGACAATTCCTTCTTCTCATAGCTATTGTTAAAACTCAAGTAACAAAGTCTTATGTGAATCATCTTGCTCAAAATTTCATCCTGTAAATCGGAACTATTAATAATAAGCTTTTTACTCTACCATATGCCTTGAAGACAAATATATATCAATATTGAGTTGTACATTGCGCAGATATAGTAGTTTCCATATCAATTTTTAGGCAAGCGATCTAGAGTTTATCTCGACTTTGATTTTTTTCTCTCATTTTCCTTAAGGACAGATGATAAAAAAAAATATTGATGCCTGGATTGGTATATATTACTGGGCCTACTTTCCTTCCAAATGATGCAACTAAAAAAATTAAAATATTAAAAAATAATAAACCTTCTATGAGGTTTAAATTTCTGCCTTTCTGCGGCCATCCTTATTAATCTATATAAATATTTTTCTCTTTAAATTTAATTTTTGTGAAACTTTGAATGAAAATTAAATACTAGACAGTTAAACTTGTTCTTTTTATTCATTGAATGATGACTCGGTTTGTATCATCTTTCCTTAAATTTACATTTTCACCTTTTTGAATGATGTTTGTCTTTTTCTCGGTATTTCTATTTCTTTATATTATTTTTTTTTCAAATTCTAGTATATTATAAAGACCCAGTGGGCACGTTATGTTTTAAGGTGTCTTTACCACAATCATATATAAATGTAATAAATCTCATAATATCAGGATGATTAATCAGTAGAAAGATCTCTTGTGGTCTCAGCGATTATCTAGTGGAATCCGGATATGACCATGCCGTTGCACCATCGAGCATCAACTAAAGATTGTTGATGCGATAATACTACGGCGCGATATCGATGATGGGATAGTGGGATGACGAGAGTTTTTAATGTATAAATTTATGTAAGCGACAATTCCTGCTGATCCAGGTCTATATCAACATGTATAACTTTAGTATTTTATAAATGTTATATTCTGTTTTATCTTTAAAAAATGTTTTTAAATGTCAAACAGCAATTAACATAAGTATAGTAACTTTGACATCGTTCTAATTTTTCAGCCCAAACTTCCTACGGTGACAGTCACTCATGTGCGAACAATTGGGGATGGTGTAGACGAAGATGCTTCCGCATTGAAAGAGTGAATTGGTATTACAGTGGAGTTTGTGGAAGTTACTATTGTTGCATATCTACTATTTAAAATAACAGGCTCTTTCATATTAGCCCTAACCTGATCATGGCCCTTATAACTTGTGAATGATTTTTAAAAATAAATTTAAAATCGTGTATAAGATAAAAGTATGACTATATATTCCTTTAAATTTAGCTTCAGGAGAGTAAGAAATCATTGAAGATTGACACTTGTTTCTCTCAAATAAGTTATATTTTACATATAACATAAGTATCATATAGATCTATAATTCAACGCCGGGAATTCCGACGCTTATGGCAAGGTTTGATAATAAGAACCAAGTCAAAAATAGTATAGTTTTGAATTAGATACTATTTGTTTCCCCATCGACAGCCGTTATAATAAGCAATGTTAACAATGGAGAACTATTCTGGCGACTAACATTAAAAACCGAAGTGATGCATATGGACACAAAAATAGATAAAACAATACAAAATAGGAGCAGAGCAAGGACGAACCTCTGAAACATCAGAAATGGGATCAGGTGCCTTGGAGGAGTGAGCATCTTCTGCCGACCTGTCACACCCAAGTGTGCTGCTTGTCATGATCATCGGGAAATAACGGAAAAATCAGTCGTAAATCAGTATATAGATAATGGACTTACAATAAGTATGAAAAACATCAGTCGGCATTCGAATTAATTATAAATTTAATTGCTGACAAGGTTATTGAGCATTATAAAGTTAAAGTCATCAAGTTTATCATAGAGCTTGGATGTTAAGTTACAATGAACGTCTTTTTTAGGTAAAATATCCAAATATGAAACTGATGTGTCAGACTCATCAGTATCTTTTATCTCAACCTCAATGTAATATATCGTATCGACATGGGAATGGAAATTACCACTGTTTATTGACAATACGTTGTATACGATATATTGAATTGTCGAGTTGAAGGCCATAAATAGTGTTTTCTTATCACATTTAAGATTTCTGACAAGTTCTGTACATATGAATACTAAAATAGGTATGCTAATAACAAGGATCAATTGGTACCCATAGGAATTCCAATAGATTGTTGGAAGACCTGGTCTACAAAACCCATATAGATATTTTCAATGCGAAACTTATTTTTTGAAGTCAAATCCAGAGTACTTGTGTATTCAAAATAGTTTTGAAAATGACCAATGGTAAAATTAATAAAATTTATGATTTCCGTTTATATTAAAAAGGCAACTGTCAATGATATCAAAATCCCGGACTTTTATTTATCAGTGGGAATTGTTGTGTATAATGTTAAAAAGTCTTTTTAAGCTATTGATTTTGGCAAATTCTTGTGATTTTAGATTGTCCAGAAATTTCTTGGCATTTTTAGGTATCCATATCTGATTTACATAACTTCTTGATTATATTGTTGCACAATACTCTTGAAGTGTCTCCTTCACATATCAATGTTAATATCTTAGTTTGGAATAAACAAACAGGCTTTGTTGAAAATTTAATGAAACCCGCTGTTTCTTTCTTTCTTTCTTTCTTTCTTTTTTTTCTTTCTTTCTTTTTTTTTTGAGGATTTTTATGAAGTTCGGAATATAGATATAGTAGTTTAAATTCATTTTGGTTCTGTGGGTTCATAAAAATATTCAAAACTGACATATGATTTTGAAGAATTTCTTCCTTAGAAAGGTAACTATAAGTGTAAGATGGATACCACTTCCAGAATTAAATCAAACTTCTTCTAGAATACAACTTTTATGTAATGACGCCTTAAAAACGAAGATCATGTTGTTACCTGCTTTGTCAGCAGAGACCGGTATGTTTTGGCCATGTTATATATGTAATCCTTTTTTCACTTTTGATATATTAATTACAGATGTTATATTGCCCCTCAATTTTTTTAATATTGTTAATATTAGCGACTTTTTCGACTTTTTCCTAAGAGTGAAACAATTTAAAACTCGACGAAAAATAAATACCCATCTGCAATCAATAAATCTGAATCAAATAACTTTGCTATATGCTAGGTAAAGATTTAAACGCTTACTTGATAAAAGATTGTTTATTTTCCATAGCACTTCAACAATATTTAATCAGTGCAACTGTAGGAAAGATAACTCATCCATGTAAATCCATGAATATGAAAGGATATGGAGAATGAAATGAGTAAGTTAACCATATAAACCGTTGATGACAGTCAGTTAAAACTCAGTGATAAGTACTGAACACAATGCATTTAATAAGAAAATTCTTGAACATTCAGTCTTTCTTCTGATATCTGCTGTATGATTTGCTACCTATGATTTCGTTTTGTTGTCTAGTACATTAATGAAGAACATTGATTACAAACTGTTTATCGTACTGCAGATTTCAATTCATTAAACAATAAGTGCAAATAAGACTGACTAAAATTAACATGAATTAAAAAAGTATAAATGGAAATAAAATAGCTGGCATCTGATATTCAAACTAAGAAATTTGTTTAATTTTTTTTTTCAAAATGTCATTTATATCCTGATTAATAATTCGGATAATTTAACTACATGTACACAATAGATTTCCTAGATAACTAACATAAAGTCATGTCAGTGTCATCAAAACAGTTTCGATCAAGAGATACATTTCAGATTTGATGGATGGAAAAATACAATATTGTGTTTGTAGTTAGTGTTTCTTCACAATCAAATCATGAGAATGAAATAAAAATGGAATCATGAGTTACAGTCGAAATATTTTATATAAAATTTAATTTAGTGGAATCGACTGAATATAAAAAAAATATTGTTTACATTTTCATAATAAAATGTTTTGAAAACTGAACAATTTCAGCTCTGATAACAAGGAAACATTCATCTTATACATAAATCACGTGACTAGGGCAATCACTAGAAAGCAGTAGCCAGTTTTACTAAAGGTCGTAAGTCAAAACGTAGGCGTAAACGTAGACAAAGACATAACTTACGTCGATTTTGCGTTTTACTAAAGATCGTAAAGTCTACGTTTACTTCTACGTCTACGGCAAATTTTACGACCTTTAGTAAAACTCGGTAGAGGATAACACTACTTAAGTGTTAATTCATTGATCTCAATGACATAAATATGCTAGACAGTTTTTAAGAGATTACATGTTGATGAAGACTTACTTAGGCCTAGCTTTTTGTCAAAAAGCACATTGGAAGAGACTTGAACACTATAGCATTGATAAAATTTAAAATTTATATATTGATTAAGGATAAATGTCCTAAAATCACAACAGACTCTAACACAAAACATGTTTATTATGACTTATTTAAACCAAATAAATTTTTTGGCAAAAATAAACAGCACATTTAAAACAAAGTAATAATAATTCGATGATATTTCACAAAACACGTTGATAGATAATACAAGAAACATTCACCTGATTTAAAAATTAAACATTTTTTTCAGTTGCCTTAGCCTAATTGAACACATTTGTTATTAAATTTTAATAAGCGCTGTTAATATACTGTAAAAGGGCAAATTGTAGTAATTAAATTCCATTAAGGTATCAGGAAAATACAAAACCACTCATTATTGTGTGTTATATGGTGATAAGGAAATTCTATTTTAGAAAAAACGAAAATAAAAATTCCTCGTAATCTGTAGCATACATCACTGAGATCATCACGTGACTGAGATGATGAGATTATGTATCCGTGTATAATGATTATATATCCTGCTTCAAAGCAAAGCAGAAAAGGATAAACAGATATTGTCTGAGAAGGTAAGGCAATAATTGTATGTAACAGATTTTTCCTTACGTGGTAAAGTGATGAGTTTTTCATTTTCATATTTTCAAAAACAAGCTTATATTCATGGATGTACAAGAATTAATCCAAGCAGTCGTGGTTAAGTTGCTGCTAGTGATTAAAGGTTGAGTGATCTAAGAACAAAGATGTTTCTAAAACAATACACGTTTATGATTATTTAAGGTTGAATGATTTAAGATCAAAGTTGTCTCTAAGACACTACACGTTTATTATGATTTAAGGTTGAGTGATCTCAGATCAAAGTTCTAGTAAGACAATACAGGTGTATTATGGGTATCCTAAGATCAAAGTTGTGTGTAAGACGGTAGATATGTATGTTGAGTGATCTCAGATCAAAGTTTTAGTAAGACGGTAGATGTGTATGATGAGTGATTTTGGATCAAAGTTGTTTGTAAGTCAGTACAGGTGTATTTTGAGTGATTAAAGATCCAAGTTGTTGCTAATTAAAAGTATCTCCCATCACAGCTAGGTTAAGGCCACCCATAAGGTATGCCTTGAAATATTCTGAGAAAATCGATATAATGTTGATTTCATTTTTTTAAGTATGAGTTTGAATTTTATGGGAATTGTACTTATGCGTATGTATGTATGGGAACTCAACCAAGTTCGACCAAAGCAACCTCAGGAAAATTAACTGTTTGTCACGTGACATGGTTAAATTAGAAAAAAAATATGTACCGATACAAAGATCGTAAAATTTAAATAATAAACAGATAATTTTTCACTATGAAATTGATTTTTTTTTCAGAAATAAATATACCTTAACCTCAAAAGTGCTGGGAGCAATTTCCTAATGCCCTGGCATTATATACAGTTTAGCCGTCTTCTAATAAACTTCGTGCATTAAATTTAAACTATACCCATTGAAATGAGGTAAAATTACCAAGAAAATCCAACAGTGCACAACTTGCTCCCAACTTTTTTTTTCAAAATAGTAGGGACAATATCTACATGTGTGTATATATAATTTATAGTTAAGTGGATATCGTTGAACTTTTGAGATTTTCGAGAGGTTGTACCTTGGATTGAAGTACATTTATGTTTAAAACTGCATGATTGCGCCTTAATAAGAGACTAAGTCATTTTCATTTTAAGAAGACTGCGAAATATTGAGTTATACATTACAAAATATGACTCAATTTTAGTCAGATCACGCTTATCTACTTTTAATTTCCATATGTGCAAGTTGCAATAATAATTTTATCTGCGTCTCAAGTACAGAGACACTGCGTGTCAATTTGTCTATGGTGTGATCTATGTCAATACAGCGAGATCAAGTTGGCTTAAATTTTACATTCGAATAGTGAAATAATGACAAGATAAGTTACACATTATTCATGTTTGCAATAATTATGAAAAACA